TTGAACAAATGTCTGCTGGAGCACATTTTTCTAGAAAAATTCGAATAACTCGAGAACAACTGAATCAAATTGCAAAAAGTAAAGTTATTTATAAACCTTGAAAATAGACAAATCCAAATATGTAAAAATATACGGGTGTTCCATTTAAAAAAACAAAGTTGGTGGCGACTTCCGGTATAACCGGAAGTGCAAGAAATCTGAAAATATTTTAGACGAAGAGATCGTAATTGATAATACTTAAGTCTGAATTCTCAAATTTTTATTTTCGCCAGAACCCCAGAAACGTCTAATGACCGGTCTCGCTGAGACACCCTGTATATGTATCTAATCTAATGTATAGGGTTGGTTAAATAACTTAACAATGATAAATTAAAAGTTCACATTTTATTATAAAAAAGAAAGCTGAAACATTAATCGTTCTCATTTATTACGTCAATTAACATTTTCAACGCCTCAATGGGCTTGCTGTAACATGATAGGTGTTACTAATGAAGCGACCAAGTTTAAATTTCCGATTGGGTTACCCTAAGGATTTTCGACTAATTGGCAAATAATTGCAAATTACCCGAGTTATTGCTTAAGCATGTCTTTCGAGAGGGTTCGAAGGTCGTTGGACGCGTAAAAATCAGTTAAATCGGGATTTTGTCAACCGTGTTTATTTGTTATGTGCTTTCGAGGGGAAGTATTTAATTGAAATCAAAATAAATGTCCAATTTCTTTCGTTTAGGTTTCAAATAAATTTCAAATAATAGAACGTTATCTCTTTTGTATTCAAACATAATTGATGTTAGCAAAAATTATTCTGTAGTTGCAAACTTTTAAAGCTTTAAGGGTAATACTAAATAACCTTGTTTTTTATTTTTTAAATTATTAAATATTTATACTTTTCAAGACATTTCTCAATAGTGGGTCATCATCGTGAAACACCTGTATGGATACCAACCCTTCTTTACGGTTTGCATGGTATTGAGGTCGCTCATTCAATAAACGAACGCATACACAACGCTTACCGAGCTTCAATAAAAATTCTCTAAAAATACCCCGACAGTTTTTCTCATCTAGATCTTTATAACTGCACCTCAGTTCGTTCGATTCGAAAGAAAATATTTAGGTTTCATTTTGGACCTATTAAAAGAAACCGTTCGACGTTTTGCACGCGAGAAATCTTTTGACTTGAATGCCATTATTAAAAAAAATCGGCAGCCATTTAAGTGTGGATGTCGATTAAGTTTAAATTAACATCCGGGCAGATGAAAGTTTTGAAATTAAATCGAAATGACCCTCGAAAGTTTCGTAAATTAGGAAATTTGGGAGCCCACGTCTAAAAATGTGACATCTCAAGATTCAAGGGTAGAGTTTATTTTGGACCATCAATTCCGATACCATCGATTGTCGTTATCAAACCGTAATAAACGTTTTACAGTCGAACCAAAGTACTAATAAATTCGATATTTTCCGTAGAATATTTTCATTAAATATCGACCTATTTTTCGAACTTATCGAAAACTGAACGTTTCGACGTTTAAGCATTTTTTTTTCTTCGATGTTACTCGATAAAAACGACAAAGTTTTATTGTAACTCGTTATTCTGCAATCTGATGACGGAAGCTTGGAGTTGATTGAGGTTTATTATGTCTGTTTAGCCTTTTTCGTTCGCTTCAGTTTATAAGTGCTTTGAATGTCGGCGTCATTAAGCGCCTAATTAACGCTTGTTTCATTCTTTTCGTTTTATGGTTCTCTATCGTTGGTGAAGTGAGAAAGTTAAAAAAAAGCTTTAAATTTTGAAGGAATTTGCTGCTTATTCACGGCTTGTTTGGTGTCGTCTCGGATCCGGTACTGAATGCACTTCGTTAGAAACGATGAATGGCTCCCAAACTAAATACACTTGTGCAGTTCTTTGCAATTGGATCTTTGCCAGTCTGTACTTCAACGTTTTATTTTTATTTGTGTAAATAAATAAGAATAAAATTTTTTTTACAAAATTTTCTCTCACTTTATCCAGATAAGTAGGTAATAAAACGTTAATTTGAGGTCGTTATTTCATTTTTGAAGATCACATTAACTGGTAGCAAATGAGACAAGTTAAATTCCCTCTTAATTTATTTCAGATAAAAGTTACATTTAAATTACTTTTGATGGTTTTCTGGTATTAACTACATTTCAAAAATTTATTTCTCAAAAACTAAAAGCGATTTTTCAAAACGTGTTGGTTCATTGGAAAGAGGACACTCTTATTAACACGTTGGGAAATTTTCATACTCATATTCCAAGAAATGGATTTTATACGAATTTTTGAAACTCAATAGGCAAAAATTGCAAAATTCGACAAAATTGTCGATCATTTCAAAAATTTATTTCTCAAAAACTAAAAGCGATTTTTCAAAACGGCTTGTTGCATTAAAAAGAGGATACTTTAATTAATAATTGGTGATATTTCCACAAGGATCCTTCAAGAAATTAATTTTATAGCGAATTTTGAAAATTATCGATGAAAATTGCAACATCGAAAATTTTATCAAAACTTCAAATATTGTTTTCTCAAAAACTAAAAGTTATTTTTCAAAACGGGTTGGTTCATTGGAAAGAGGACACTTTTATTAACACTTTGGGAAATTTTCATACTCATATTCCAAGAAATGGATTTTATACGAATTTTTAAAACTTAATCGGCGAAAATTGCAAAATTCGAAAAAATTGTCGATCATTTCAAAAATTTATTTCTCAAGAACTAAAAGTGATTTTTCAAAACGGCTTTTTGCATTAAAAAGAGGATACTTTAATTAATAATTGGTGATATTTCCACAAGGATCCTTCAAGAAATTAATTTTATAGCGAATTTTGAAAATTATCGATGAAAATTGCAACATCGAAAATTTTATCAAAACTTCAAATATTGTTTTCTCAAAAACTAAAAGTTATTTTTCAAAACGGGTTGGTTCATTGGAAAGAGGACACTTTTATTAACACTTTGGGAAATTTTCATACTCATATTCCAAGAAATGGATTTTATACGAATTTTTAAAACTTAATCGGCGAAAATTGCAAAATTCGAAAAAATTGTCGATCATTTCAAAAATTTATTTCTCAAGAACTAAAAGTGATTTTTCAAAACGGCTTTTTGCATTAAAAAGAGGATACTTTAATTAATAATTGGTGATATTTCCACAAGGATCCTTCAAGAAATTAATTTTATAGCGAATTTTGAAAATTATCGATGAAAATTGCAACATCGAAAATTTTATCAAAATTTCAAATATTATTTTCTCAAAAACTAAAAGTTATTTTTCAAAACGTGTTGGTTCATTGGAGAGAGGGCATTCTTATTAACACGTTGGGAAATTTTTATACTCATATTCCAAGAAATTGATTTTATACGAATTTTTAAAACTTAATCGGCGAAAATTGTAGAGAAAATTGTCGATCATTTCCAAAATTTATTTCTCAAAAACTAAAAGCGATTTTTCAAAACGGCTTGTTGCATTAAAAAGAGGATACTTTAATTAATAATCGAAAGTGATAACAGCGACAGTTCTGCTAATAATGAACGAGATGATGAATTACAAGCGAAGAAAAGAAAATTAGACGAAACTGCAACAAGAGATTTTATATATCGTATTGGGATTGTTACAATGAGGTTGCTAATAACAAACCTGATATAAATAAAGTTGTATTCAATGAAAAAAGTCCTATTTGGGTTGAACTTGATTATTAGCTACAGTGTCCAACATCTAAAAGAGATACTAATTAGGTGGAGTACTAAGTAATAGACCTTAATTTTAGACATTTAAAATTTTTATTATTCTTTGTGGTCGCAATTTCAGTTTTAAACATCCACATTACCCTGGTAGCAAATGAGACACGATAAATACCCCATAATTTATCTGCGATAAAAGTCCCACTTGTATTTAAATTACTTCAGATGGCTCCCTTACCGATGTCAACTTCGTTTTGATTTGAAGAGAAAAAACACAAAACGATTTATACAAAATCTGGTGAAGGCATCTTAATGGATTTATTTTTAAAAGGACGCTTCTGTTTATTTGATTTGTTCGAGAAGGTTAACTTTTTCGCCGTTGCAAATTCACGCAGCGACGAAAGCTTCCGTTTCCGGAATAACAAATATTTGTTTTAACCGATTTATTATGATCGAAAAACAATATGTAAATCTGGCGAGAAGAGTTAGTTGATCTTATCTTTTAAAAAATTGGAAACGTATGTTCGAAAACAAAAGCATTAATCACGGTAAACTGAAGCATTGCAGTTTTACTCTTTGATTGATATCGAATTTTATGAAAGATTTTTTGAAACTTGAACAATAAATTTTTTAACAAAGAAAATAGAGATGTTTCAACTTTCTTTTCTTTAAGGATTAGGATCACTTTTTAGGATCACAATATGGAACAAAAAAGGATTTAAAATTAAATAGCTGTTTGTGTTAGAGTTGTTTTAGGTAGTTGTGAAAAATTGTAGTGTTATTTTCGTGATGATTTATTTATGTTGTAATTTTAATGGAATTTCTATGTCTCTTTAATTATAGGTACATTAATTACTGTTTTTAACAGGGAAATTATTTTGGAGACTCATTTATGAAAAAATAAAACGAAATTGGATATCTACGACGCATTCTTTTATGGTGATATACGTGGAGGTGATTGAAAGTCGATGCCCTAGGGATTTTGTTTAGAAACTGTTAGGTTTTTGAGAGGAAATAAACTTTATTTGTTTACATTTTCCAAAACACTACATATTTATACCTATAATTGAGAAATAAAAAATTTTTCTCTCTCAAAAAGTCCATTAAACTTACAACCCTCAGCATCTCTACACAACAGCATCTAGTTATAACGGCACATTGTACTCTAATCGCGTTCTAACGGTAGCATGCACATACAAGCTTTGGACATGCCAAATTCGAAACGGGTTTAAACTCGCTAACCGAGCTGCCCGATAAGTCCGTTACGATCCGATTTAAACCGGCGCAATAAAAGCAACGAACGTACCTTGTGAAAACTGCCGCAATTACCCAAGCCAAAAGACATATCAACGACGCCCTCGTCTTCGTACAAATGTACCCGGCTTCTAATGGTTTACAAATGGCGTAGTATCTTTCGAAACTTATCGCCAATATTGTTAATACTGATGCGTGGGCTACTGTAAGTTCTACGAATGGTACAGCTTTACCTAAAAGCAAAAATACTATTAATTATATCTACATTAATTTATAATAGTAATTCATAAACTAAGGGTAGGCAGACACGGTTGATTATTCATCGACGAAACAGTTTAGTTGGATTGGTTTGAAATCGCGATGCATTATCAATTTATAACCGACTAAACTGTTTAGTTGTTCATAAATCGTGTTGTATGCACACACATATCGATTTCGAAACAACTTGTATTTATATTGTATTGAATATTGAATAATACCGGGAAATAANGCTAACAAGTCACCGATCTCCCCTGAACCGTTTGTACCACTAGCTGTTAATACAGCATCAAAACTGATAAACTCCATCTCCCACCGAGCTTTTTGCGATAGATGGGATGGGACAGCAGTAGGTGCCTTTGCTAAGAAAACTCTGCTCTACCCTGACCGGAAGACATCTACTCAGTTTCTGGGAAAATCGAAAAGTGACTTGAGGCTTCTCACCCACTTCCTGACCGGACACTGCAGGTTACGTAAGCACATGTTTTACATGAAGCTGGCGAATACACCCCTCTGTAGAGGGTGTGAAATGGAAGACGAGACGGTAAGTCATATTGTTTGTGACTGTCCAAACCTCGTGTACTTAAGGGAATCTATTTTCGGAGTACCATGGCTCCAAATTTCGGATATAAGGAACATACCTTTCTGTTCTATATTAACGTTCATGAAAAGATTGGGCTGGTTTTCTGACCCTTGAAAGAACAGTAAACTGTGGGGACGTACAAAAGGTCCGCTGGGGCCTAAGTGGCCTAAACTACATACATACATACATTTGTCGACGTCTGTAAAGAAAACGCTCCTGAAAAGGAGCCTACAGTTGACAACAAACTTTACTTTTGTATTTCCATCTATGCATTTTTCGGACGGATATCTTTGTTATTTATAACGCTAGCGAAAAACTAAGCACACGGTTGGAAAGCTTGGTTGTTTCTCTATCTTAAACCGACTTTTCGTCCGCCGATATGTTGATAATAAGAGCAAGAAAAAATAAGAAACGTCCCGCTGCATTCAAATTACCTCAAAATTACCAAACTTCACGGCCTTGTGCAGCCGTTACCAGATGGAAATTTAACAAATGGTTTACATATTCGGAAAGAGCTGACCTTGGACTATCTTATTCCGAGTTTTCGTCCGTCAATATCTGTCGACGTCTGTAAAGAAAACGCTGATGAAAAGGAGCCTACAGTTGACAACAAACTTTACTTTTGTATTTCCATCTATGCACTTTTCGGACGGATATCTTTGTTATTTATAACGCTAGCGAAAAACTAAGCACACGGTTGGAAAGCTTGGTTGTTTCTCTATCTTAAACCGACTTTTCGTCCGCCGATATGTTGATAATGAGAGCAAGAAAAAATAAGAAACGTCCCGCTGCATTCAAATTACGTCAAAATTATCAAACTTCACGGCCTTCTGCAGCCGTTACCAGATGGAAATTTAACAAATGGTTTACATATTCGGAAAGAGCTGACCTTGGACTATCTTATTCCGAGTTTTCGTCCATCAATATTTGTCGACGTCATTACATTAGAGAGAATGTACTTAAAGCGTTTCCTTTGCATTTCAACCAACATGCATATATCAAAGGTAAATCTGTGGATAGCGCCCTACACATGGTAGTGGGGCGCATCGAACAAGCATTTGATTCGAAAGAGTCCATTCTGGGAACTTTCCTTGACATAGAGGGAGCGTTTGACAAAACCACCTTTAGTAGCATTAACCTGGCACTGGAATCTCGAAGAGTGCCATCGGTCATCGCGGGCTGGATTAAAACAATGCTAGCAAGCAGAGTTGTTCAGACTAAGGCGAAAGGACACACAGTACAGAGAGCTGTGGTTAAGGGTTGCCCACAAGGTGGGGTACTCTCACCGCTTCTCTGGTGCTTAATAGTTGATGATCTCATTCGTGAGTTAAATAATAAATATCTCTTCACAGTTGGTTACGCAGACGACGTGGCTATTTTGTTAAGAGGTAAACCTGACAATTTTCTTTGTTACAGAATGCAGCAGGCACTTAAACTCGTTGAACGATGGTGTGAAGAACATACCCTCTCTGTCAATCCTAAAAAGACAGAGACTGTTCTCTTCACTAAACAGAAGAAACTGGGACACTTAACGCCACCCAATTTCTGCAATAATCCATTAACCTTTGCTCCAGAGGTGAAATATCTGGGTGTTATCTTGGACAAAGGACTAACTTGGACATCACACATTAGTTGCAAAACCAAAAAAGCAACGATTGTACTGACCCAGTGCCGAAGGGCTATTGGGAATACTTGGGGATTAAATCCGAAAGTTACAATGTGGATCTACACTTCTGTGATAAGACCCATGGTAGCTCACGG